GCGCTATGAATTCTGGGATAGGCTGGGCCGCGAAGCGACCCATCCTTCAAATCTGAGGAAAAGCAGGGCCTTTTATCGGCCGCATATGTCGGAGTCTTCGAATTTGGACAGTCTTCGTCGTGTCGCTATAACGTAATCGGCCTACAAATGCAGCCTCAGGAGGATGCGGTTCCTGAATTTGGACACAGCTCATCTATACGTGCTCAATGCTCAATGTTAAACTGTTTGACTATATACATAATTAATTACTGATATGGTCAAAACCACAGATTAACTACCTAACGTTAGGTGGAAGCGGTTTACTATTCAGAATAAACACTAATATTAATGTGAGTCACTCGTTAAACATGCCAATGCCAAAAAATAATAAATAGCCAATAATAGCCGATAACCTCAATTTGCTGATAAATCAGTCAGGCTCTAAGTGTAACTGAATAAAACAGAAAGTCATGCGTGTCAAACTTGCTTCGTAGTAAAGGAACCAACTTAAAGGACCGCCACCTTATTGCAGCATCAATCAAAATAAAGCCAAATATTATATTTTTGTTAAAAGAGCCACTGAGTAGATTTATGGTTGTGGATCTGTAGTTTCAGTTTATGTACACTTTATTTACTATTAAAGTATAAATATACACCCCAAGAATCCTACAAATGCAAATGTTTGGTCAATGTTTTTGATAACAAAACAAACTGGTTATTTCTGATAAGACAGTGTAAAGTGACAGCCTTTACTCTAACTCCTCCCTGGAGCTGACTCTACAATGACACTGGTACAAAAAGAAAATGTAACAAAATAACACTAAAAATATGTAAGAAAGCATAATTAATATCATCTAACACATACACACCTGACCAATCACTTTTAATTTGATGTACTCTCCGTCTTTTTTATCCCCTCCGTCTTGGCTGGATGGTTTTGTCTCCTAAAAATAAACAAACAAACCGTAAATAAACAAAACACATCCAAGCACGACATACACACACTCATATATATAAATATTTATTTAATTCCAGCGCGGCTCGACACCCGAGTGTCACTGCTTTGGAAAACCATGTCACTCTGTTTTGTAACAGTTTCTGTTTCGTATTACTGCCAACAACCGTTGCTCCACAGCAGAACTTTAAATAAGAAACCAGAGCTAGCCGCTAGCTGCTAGCTGCTAAAAAAGCTGTGAATTCAGGCCCGAAGCTACACGAGCTAAGAGCTAGCATATTAGATAAGTCGATACGAGCCAGCGGGCATAAATAAACACAAAGCAGCCTTTTCCCGTTTTCTGCTGATGACAAAACAACACAGAGCCTTCGGAGCGCATTTCGTACCGTATCTGACATGCTTTTTCTCTGTGTGTGCCCAGGAAAATACACTGACAATAGATGAAGCGTTAGCTCACAGGCGCAGCTCCTGGTTGATGTTATTCGACAGCCGGAATTGACGCATGGGGTTGCTTCTTTCAAAAATAAGAGCCTCTCCAAAGTGAAGCACAGACATGATCGTTTAATTTTGAAAAATATAGTTGGGGTCGCTAATCTTTACTCTCAAAAAAGCAAATTTTACCCTATTTTGTTTGTAAAAAACAAACAAACCCAACAACAAAACAACAACAAAAACACACTTGAGCCCTATAATAAAGCCTATTACATATAAATTACCCTGTATCCATGTTACTAATAGGTGTAAATGATTAAAATGTATTCCTATCTTCTTTATTACCAAATAAACTGAATAATTTTGGTACAAAATAACCAGTAATATGCTCTGCAGACCGCTTTGAGCCCTACTTGTGATTTTACAAATACAGAAATTTTTGACATAAGCTACTTTTACAACAGAAAAAAATATTATTATTTTTTTAATTGCCAGTTTTGATGTAATTTTGACTAAAGTACAGATGTAGATAAACCTTGCTGGATGTGAAAGAAGCCAAATTTGTCCACATACTTAGTTAGAATTGTTAGCTGAGAAGACCCAAGGCTTGAGAATTCAGGGAACAGGCTGCACATTTTTACAGTCATAGAATATGAAGAGTTCCTTACACTAGTGCTGAATAAAGTTCCAAAAATTAATATCCACTGATCACATTTATATAGTGTTTTTAAAGGAAGAGGAAGCCATTGGAGATGGGTAAAAAAAAAAAAGAAGCCACATGTAGCGCAGATTTGTGACCCTGAAACTGTGGCCTGTTGTTATGAGGCCAGGCTACGGTTTCTCTGTCCAAGAAGGCTGACCAAGATAAAGACAGCAAAGGTCCACATATTGGACAGCTGTATTATAACATATCACACGAAGAACTATATAAATGTATGTAACTCCATAAATGTGAATTTCCCCATAACAGGTTATTTTTACAACAAGTGGCTCTGTGGTGTAGTGGTTAAAAAATTTGAGAGGGTGGAAACGCAAACTCAGTCTCCATCAGTGTACTCAGGGTATGTGCTGGTCCCAAGCCTGGAAAAATGGGAAGGTTGTGTCAGTAAAGACATCTGGTGTGAACTCTGTGCCATGGCAACAACTTTTGCACATCTATTGGCTGTGGCACACCCTTGGGCACAGCTAAAAGTGTTATTTCGAAAATCTTTTGAGTATTCTAAATCTACAAATTGTTACAACACTGAGTGAAACCCCCAATATCAGACAGCCCCCTATGAGCAAGCACTTGGTGACAACGGGGAGGAAGAACTCCCCTTTAATAGGAAATGAACTTCCAACACATGCAGAATGAGGGAGGGTCGGCCATCTGCCCCGACTGGTCACCAAGGCAGACCATTTTACGATATAATATATGCATAATCTAATGTTTGACCCTTAGAGTGTGATATAAATCTTTGCTGATAGTAAATGCAAGTTTATGGGCACGGTAAATAATTACACCCAATATTTATTTAAACAGTATGGAAAAATATTTATAAAACATTTAAATGGAACATTCCTTTATTTGTAGTGTATTTTATGGACCCCTTTCCAGTGTACTGTTATAGCACAGAAAAACTTTTTTTTTTTAATGGGCTAATAATATGGTGAATACGCAGCACAGAGTACAGACGTATGATGTTTTTTAAAGAACAATGTTTATATTTTTATTGAATGAACGCTTGCAGTCTCTGTATTTGACTTTGGGTGTAACAATCCAAAGACCAAAACCATAAACCACAATCTAGATAACACTGGGTCTAAATGCAATAATAAACTTAGACAACATGAACAAAACTGACACTAAAATATAATTTAGAAACTGTTAGATGGAGAAATGTATTGTAAAGGGTCTTTTCCATATCATACAAGTTGTAGGCACAATGAAGAAAACATAGGGCTGTTTTTGTTTTTTACATTTTGGTTATGTCAGGATGTGACACACACACACACACACACACACACACACACACACACACACACAATGACTCGCTGTATGTTATTTCAGGATAATTTTAAAGCTGTAAAATATATAATAATGTTGACCCAACAGTAACCACCATTTCATTCTAAATTGTGACATAGTGACTTTTTTTTAATTAACAAATTCATTTTATCTGGCTAATAAGAATGAATATAAACTAGATAAACAATGGCTTATTTGGAGCTTGAGTTTTTAAAATCAGTTTTGTCTCACCTGAGTGAGTAATAGTGACATCAAGTTATTGGCCTTTTAAATGCTGGTGATGTGGATATATAACAAAATACTTTTATAATACATTAAACATTTTGTTAAATTGTATTTCAAAAAAATTAAACAACATGGGGCTGTATAGGAAAGAAACACAAAATAATACAAATCATATTATGCATTTGCAAAACTAACTTAAACAGAATTAAAATATTAAGGAAATCACTTTAAATTGACTCTTTTTCAGTTTAGTCCAGTTTCATCAACACGTCAGCCTCAGGTGTTAATTGTAACAATAGCAGTAAATACCACCATTACCTAACCCCCTAACCCAACAAATAGCACCCATTACATAACAAAGAAACCTCCAAACTAACACTAAAAATAATAAAAACTAAACTTAAAATGAAAGAAGCAATCCGCAGAAGCAAAAGATTTAAATTTATATTTACTTCTTTTAAATGGGACAATGCACATTAATTTACATGAGCACTCAGGGTTATGATGTAAATGTGCCAGAGTAGTCATGCAGGCTCATTTTAATCTCCAAGCCAAATATGCAGAAGCATGTACAGTCATGTAGATGTCAAAGTATATATAGATATATACCAGCTGTAAATAACTCAATTCACTCAAGTTCAATTCTAATGTGCAAAATTTTTATGTCGAGTCTCATTATTTACTTCCCTCAAAACTACATATGTTGATATATTATTTATGCATTTGTAGGCATGACTGTGTATATGTATATACATATATATGCATATTTTAATTTTATGCACCCCCTGAGAGAGTGTAGCTAGAATTTTGTGCTTGCCTAATTAATAATAATTAATTTAATCAAAAGAAACTCTTAAATCTCTAAATATGTAGAACAATTATATTAAATTCTAATAAAAAATCTATAAAACTATTAAAAAAAACTACAATAAAGTGATTAAACACCAATCAAATGTATTTATTCTTTGACAGGAAACTCATAAGTTTCTCTGACGTGACAGGTCGTGTTTTTATTGGACTCTTCCGACAAGGTTGGGGTCAACACCTTTCAAGTTTCCGTAAATGAAATATGATATCCTGGCACTGGTTATCAAAATAAAACACATAATAGTTACTTGAATGTATCTACTTTTATTTTCTGTCTCTACTTCCGGTTAAATTATTTTTAATACGTGATAGCTTGATGGCGTCGTGGGGTCAGCAGCGAGCGGAGCTACCGTTAACCAGGGTGTAAAGTACAGCTAAAAGAGCGCCTCTGATGAAGTTAGCCTTTTAACCACTGCACAGACAAGGAGCTACTTAGTTGGACGAGCCGCCGTTTTGTCGTCTTGTGGTTGAAAAGCTTCAGCTGGTTCCTTTAACAGCCGTCAGGCCTCGTCGTCGTCGTGGTCCGGCAGCACTCGAGTGAAGTTGGGAGCGGACTGCCAAACTTCTGCTTCCTCCAGCGGCTCTCCGCGGGGCCCGGGGCTCCTGTCACCGGCCCTGTGGATGAGGAAGTGACTACACATCTAATTAGCGCCCAGGTACGGTACTAAAGAAGTATTGGATCCATTTGAAGGGTTTATTTATTCCTTTAAGGGCTGTTTGTTTTTCTTATAGTCGTGCAGCGCAGGTGAACGCTGATTAGCTGTGCGGCTGGCTGTTAGCATTAGCTCAGCTTGACAACTTCCCTGGCCTGACAGCTAGTTGCACACGTCTAGCTTAGCTCCACATATCGGCTCTCTGTTTAGATAACAAACAGTATTTTGGGTAAGTGTCAAAAGTGTCTTATAATTATTCATAGAAACGGCTGTAATTGCTAAAAATGTGCTAGCAACAGTTGCTATGTTGCTACTCGGCTAACGCTAGCAGGAGAATCTAAAGCGAGCTAATTATCTACCAAAGGAGGCCATAATTGTGCTGTTGATATCAACTTTGTTGTGAGCACTGAGCAAGAGTCGGTACAGAAGATGAGGCTCATGAGGAGGATGATGTATGTAAGGATAAAAGAGAGAAGAAAAAAACGCTAAGCTAAGGCTAGCACCAATGCTGCAGCTCTCTCATCAATCAGTGATGATCACAGACTATCATCACCAATTTCCAATCAACTCCTCGTCAGCAGAGGCCATCTTGATTTAAATTTCCACTCTTTTGCAACAACAATAACATGAAGGCTCATTATGTTTGTACAGATTACATTCTGGAGGTTATGTTCAATGGTATTAATTGATACCTGAGCAATAAACTACTTTGATTCCACACACAAGCTTGTGCTGCAACCTTTATAGCCCCTTTATTGGACACTCATAGCTACAGTCATTGCATATTTCACTATACATGACAATGCAATAGTATAATATAAAGCTTAGTGACAAATTAAAAAGCTGAATGCTTGACCTCCTATAGTGTGGGCATCCGGAGCCCAGTTAAACATAATCAGTGATCAGTAGAAAGCTATGGCCTGGAAACTGACTCATCTGAATGGACCCACATTAACCAACATTGTCACATTAAAATGGCAATAAAATATCCACCAGTCTTGGTAGTGTAAATGTGAAGAAAAGGGCTCTTAAAGTAGGGTCAGCATTTACTCCACTACACTTGTATTAAAGATTTTGTCGCAGCTGTTTTCTGTTTTTTATGTTATAAAATCACAAATATACTATTTATCTTTGCTAGGGAACACAGCAATTTAAGGGCTCCCATTCCAGAAGTGAGTTCCTTGTTCATCCTCTCCATTGATGTTTCAGAAAATCCTTATATAAAGAGTTTTAATCCTCAGACCAAACCAACCAGCTACGAGGTGAATCATGGCTATTAAAAAGATTTGATTTGGATGAAAAAGAAAA